AGAGAGAGAGAGAGAGAGAGAGAGAGAGAGAGAGAGAGAGAGAGAGAGAGAGAGAGAGAGAGAGAGAGAGAGAGAGATAGAGAGATAGAGAGATAGAGAGAGAAAAAGAGAGAGAGATAGAGAGAGAGAGAGAATGATAGCAGATGTTTCGTAGTAACACCAGAAGACAAATATGCAACTATCCATAATGGAAGGCATACCGCCGCTGGCTTTACAAACCTCGGAAACACTGACTCAAAGAGCCAGAACTTTATACGTCTTTCGAAAGTCGCTATGAGCTATCCATATCAACACACGGAGGAAGAAGACACAACTATCCCTCAGGAAGGTGAATCCCCTCAGGCTTTATAAGATCTCTGAACACCAGGTTTACAAAAATACATTGAAATTATACTTACTTATATAAAAATCTAAAATGAATAAGCAGCTGTTACTAGCGATTGATATTGGTAATGATTAAAAAAGGGCTTGTTTCATGAGAGCACGTAAATAGGAAGGGTTTGTTTTCAAGAGAACACGTAAATGCTAATAAATAGGAAAGGTTTGTTTTCAAGAGAACACGTAAAAAGCTATAAATAGGAAAGGTTTGTTTTCAAGAGAATACGTAAAAAGGAAGGGTTTGTCTTCAAGAGAACACGTAAAAAGCTAATAAATAGAAAGGGTTCGTTCGTTTTCAAGAGAATACATAAAAAGGAAGGGTTTGTTTTCAAGAGAACATGTAAAAAGTTAATAAATAGAAAGGGTTCGTTTTCAAGAATACGTAAAAAGCTAATAAATAGGAAGGGTTTGTTTTCACGTATTTATAATGTTGAAAAATCCTCGGACACGTGATTATAATAAAATATTTGTCATATCGTATCACGCCCTCAAGTTTCCGTTTTTAAACTTATTGTCACACATATCTATTTGTCACGGTTATTAAGTATTAGTATATTATTGGTCAAATGTCACATGTCGGAGGATTTTTGATAGTGATTCGGGGAATTTATCATGTTGTTAAGAAAGAAAAAACCATCAATAAAAAAAGGGTTATAATTGCAAATGAATATTATTCAAACGTCACTTGATTTTTCTGATTACTTTGGCAGATATGAGATCAGTGTCATTTCTTTATTGCTGTTTTTTCCTACGTTCAATTAAAATAAAGAAAGTTTTTAAGCATTTTGAAAATAAAATTTACTTTATCATTCGTAAAATTATTTTACGAAGGAGAATCTCATCTCCTTTCTGGCTTTAAACCGTCCAAAGAGAACTTCCCTATTACCCTTTCTAAATTATGAGATCCAATTATCTCAGGTCAAAAGATCACCGTTCACTACTACCGTAGTTATTGAAGAAGGTGCATTAATAAGGATTTCATTATCCTATAGAAGAAGTCGAATTTGAAATTGGATTTTTGTAAATTATTTGTCTTGCCAAGCTGTTTTGCGTGCCCAGTTGAAAAAGAGAGATTTCGACTTGGTTAATAGAATACGAAATGCGCAAGTACCACAAAGCTTTTATTATTTTTTACAATATTTAACTGATCATTAATAAATACTTTATTATTTTTAATTAGTTTCGAATCCAGACGAGCAAGTTGTGTTATGCTGGAAATCATTTTCCAGCCTTGAATGAAAATGATTTTTCGTTGCTTGCCATCCTGAATGGTTTTATTATTATTATTATAATTATTTTATAGTTTATATTTTTTAGTCTGTTGTATATATCGGTTCAACAAAACTGATGATTTGCTTGTAATCATTAAATAAGTTCAAATATAACACATTTCTATTGAAATTAAATATCATTACATAAAAATTATTAAGAATAATTCCTTAAACTTTTAAATTAAGCAACCAATTAAATGAAGATTTCGGACTATTTTTTTTTCGTTTTATTTTTGAAACGATTATTATTCAAATATAAATAGGTTTAGGCGTTTATATATATAAATTTAGCTCAAAGTGATTTTTTAATTTTTGCTCATGATCATAAACTTTTTATATTATTCATTATTTTTTTTTTTTAAGGAAATAAAAAAACGTTGCGAAAATATTTTACTCATGATTATCATTTAAGCGGACTTTTGTGTCCAGAAACGAAGTCTGCCTAATAATCGAGTTGACAACGATGCGAAAGCGAATTTAATCAGTGAATTTCACTATTGTCAATAAAATTAATCTTGAATTATTTTTGTTCTTTTTTTTTATAATAAAAAAAAATAAACACTCATCGCGAAAAAACCGTATTTTTAATTGGACAAGAGTAGATGTGTTTTTTCCTCAATTATCGTTGCGATGTATAATAATAGTGAAGTCTCCAAAAAAAAAAAAAAAATGTCGGCCGTCCTGGCACAGTGCAACACGTGATTTACTCCGATTAAAATCAAAAGGCTTTGTCATTGGGAAGTGAGGATACCAATGGAAACATTCAATTAAAAATAAAATAAACCAATAAAATTAAATTCAAATGAAACTAAAAATTCAAATTTAAACAGAAATTTTTTTTTTAACGTCATTACAGTTTACATTTGAATTAACGTTAATGTTTAGATTTAATAGTTTTAGGGATTAGAACTTAGAGTTAGAATTAGATACTGTATTTGGTTATTCATTATAGGTCTAGTGGGTTAAGGTTATTTAGGTCTTTATTATATATTGTATGTTCGATTTCCTTTGAAATTTTTTATTCTTCATGTTACTATTGTCTCTCTTTTTTTTCGGAACAAACAAGCATAACGAATTCATGGAAATCTAAATATTCGTAATTGTATTAAGCTGCGGTTTAGCTTTATTCTATGGTGGCGGGATTCGATTATTAGCAGGATTTTTTGAATTGAAGAGAGAAGATGTATTCCACACCACAGATTTCTCATGGTAAGAATCATTTATCATTTGGGTTAAAAACCAACTTTTATTAATGCCTGTGTAACGTATAAAAAAAATTTTTTTTTATTAGATCTGTTTCGATTATCGCTTCCTATAAAAATGATCTAGAAATGTTAAAAAATGCGCTTGGTATAAAGTATATACCTCATAGGTTAGATGATATGCAAGTGACTTTGTTAACTGTAAGTTTTCTCTTCAATTTACACGAATCCTGAGAATTTATATTAATTCACGTAAAAAATTTATTTAAAATAGTTACGTTTTTGATGTTGCTTTGTGTGCTAAATCAAATTTCGTGTTGATTGCAAATTTCATTCTAATGGTTATCATTAATATCGTTCTTACGATTGCAAACTTTACTGGAAAGCAATTTTGTGAAGTCTTCGATGATATTATTGGAGGTAATAAAATTAAAATTTATTAAATGTTTACTGTGAACGCCAGAAAAATATTTTTTTTTTTATTTTTAAAAAAAAAACAAATTATAGTAATCGTTGCTTTTTTAGCTTGATATTTGACAATCGCATTAATATTAACGAAGAAAATTCTTATTTAACCTTAAACATTTGGCCAAGAGTTTGTTCAATGAAAAGATCCAAAGATATTTTTATAAGATTTTTTATTCTTTAGAAAACTTTTATAGATTTTAACTTTTTTTTTTTTTTTTTTTTTTTTTTTTTTTTTAGATAATCTATTTAAATATTAATTATATTTACATTTTATAAACCTTTTTAAAACATTGTAGAAATTATAGACTTTATAGACTTTTGACTGAACCCCTCATCCATATTTTTGTACCTGTTAAAACAAAAAAAAAAGTCTCTTGTAACTTCCTTCCCATAACGAAATTTTACAATAAATGATCAATAATGTTGCGATTAAAGTTATGACTTTTATTAATTAAAACATGGGAAATCATTTGATAGATTTGCTTCTTTACATCACATTTATTCTCCTCATTCGGCTCTTACTTTCTAAATATCTTTTCATTTCAATTTCTTAGGAGCAGTTCTAAATCATTTGTTCTCTCCCTTGTAATCAATAAAAATTCGTAATATATTTTTTAATTTATTTGAATTTTTAATTAATATATTTTTAATTAGTAGACAATCAGATAATTTCGCTTCATGTAAATATTGTCTAACGTTCGTGAATTGCAATGTTTAAATTGTTTCTTTTTAAATTCTCTACCCAAAACCAAAATATAATCGTTCATTTGCCTGAGATAAAATAAAATAAACTAAAATTTAGTATAACGTTAAAAAACAAAATAAAAATTAAATAAAAATAAAAACTTAGTATAGCGTTAATAAGTAAAAGAATAAAAACAATTCAATTAATAGAAAAAACAAAAAAAAACCTTGAAGATCATCCAAAAACAAAGAACCAATTTGTCTACGAAATCATGAAGAAAAAAAAAGGAAATTGAAAGAATATAACAAAAGCTAATATAAATTAGCTATAAAAAGTATAATCTATTTTAAATAAAATATCTTTTATATTTTTGTAGTGTTACTTCAGAACTTTATATATAAGCTTTTCGACTGAACTTTATTACCAATAGCTAACCAAACGCAAATAAGCAACGCATCGTTACAAAGAACTCATGGGAAAACTAAGCAAATTATATTTTATTAATTGACTACTACTTTTTTTAAAGGAAAATCTCTTCATTTTTATAGTTAATTTTTACACCAAAGGACATAATGGTTAGAAGAACTATTGACCTAAAGACATAATTCCCGGATGAAATATTGGATCTCTGATAACAATACTTCATTATAAGATATTAGGTTGGTGTGCGGCGACTGTCGCCGCTAGGATGATTAGTAATCAGTATATGAATAATTCTCATTATCATTTAACACATTTATACGCGGTTGTTATAGTCAGTTACAACTTTTAAAGTTTCCACCTTCGCTAGCATGTTTTGTACAATTTTGTATAAAAAAACCTTTTGCACCTTTGCTTTACCACATCTGTTTTTAGGTGTTTTATAAAACCTTGAATGTGCATTATCAATCCTGAAAGTTTTTTTAATATAGAAGGTGGAATATCTTGGAGGTTAAAACTTTTTTTAAATAATGTATAACCAAAATTTAAGCAGTACTATAATAATTTTTGCAGAATTCCTTTTCGGAAAAAATATTCCTAGTTTGCAAATTTATTTGGAAGTTCCACCTCTATCCCAGTTCGCAAAATCCAAAATAAATCATTTCAGTCCTGCGCTACGAACCATGAAATTTTAAAAAAAAAGATTGCTGCGATCCAACACTAAAGAAATCGTAAAAAAGATAAAATAATATTAAAAAGAACAAAGGAAGAGTAATAATAATAAAATCAAAAGGTCTTACTGCAGCTGATCGAACCAATCCTTAAAAGTTAAAAAATTTATAAATAATGTAAACGAAAAAAACAATAATTCAAATTCCAAAAAAAAAATAAATAAATAATAAATAAATAAAATAAAACATCTTACCCGCACTAACGATCTAATCCGAAAATGAAAAGCCTGATCTAAAAAAAAAAATTTTATTCTACATCTAATCAGATTTTTAGATTAAAAGAAACAAATATTTTTCCAAAAAAATTTTTTGTTACCTTATTGGCTGATCGGAAAAGATTCCCTTAATTTTATTACCATTTCTCAATAAAACTAACTATATTTAATATAAATAACATTCACATATGATTTTTGATATATTTGGCGCCAACTCCGACGTGGCAAAAATCATCTAGCAAATGAACTAACCAAAATTGAAAGTTGAACGATCGACGCACTTTTTATACCAATTCAAAAGGGCGGAATCAATCTAGACAATTAAATCTATTTTTTCGCTGGGAATTTTCTTTCAGTTCAATTAAATTTCTGGACATATAAATTCTGAAGATCATTGCCTCATATATCTGTTCTTTTGGGAATTCATTTTTGAATTTGAGAATTTGCAACATCTTAAGAATATGTGTGGTTTTGAATGCCTGAAACGAATTTTTCATAATAATCATTTCAATCAACTTTAATGACACATCAAGTCAGAAAATGCAACCCATGGTTAAATTAAAGCCTAAACATAATTTTGATAAATGTATTGAATGTAAAAAAATAAGAAAACCTTCAGAAAAAAATCATAAAATTTGCCGTTTCTGTTATAGGTCAAATAAATTCCTTAATCCAACTGGAAATAAGATTATTGACGAATTTATCAAGTATACGCAAATTAACCAAGCATATCATGACAAGATGGAGATTGTTTCATATAATAAATTCGAAAATGTAGAATTTATTGGTGAGGGCGGCTTTAGTAAAGTTTATAAAGCTACTTGGAATGATGGTCCCATTCAGACGCATCATAGTTGGAATAACGTAATTAACAAATATAATCGAGTATCTAATAAACAAGTTGCTCTTAAGCAACTTAATAATTCTAAAAATTTTACTGCTAAGGAGTTAAACGAGGTACACATTTACTATATTTTGTTTATTTGTTATAATATCTTTAATATACTAAGTTAATAATCTTTTCAGCTTAAAATATCTTATCAATTAAATTATAATGATCTTATTATTGTTGGGTATTATGGAATTACGCAAGGTCCTATTACCAAAGATTTTATGATAATTATGAATTATTGTGGTTCGGGTGATTTGATTCGTTATATAACTGAAAATTTTTATAATCTTAGTTGGCACGATAAATTAAATCATTTAGGCAAAATCGCATTCAGCCTATCCAAGATTCATGGCAAAGGTATTATCTACCGTGATTTACATAGTGGAAATATTTTGATAAGCAATAGCTCCCTCAAAATAGGTGATTTAGAATTAAGTAAATCTGCTGAAGATAATGGAATTATTCTTTATGTGGCTCCAGAGATCCTTCAATGGCAAAAATATATATTGGCTTCAGATGTTTACAGTTTTCGTATGATTATATAGGAGTGTATGACGGGTATAAGACCTTTTTGGGATCGTGCTCATGATACAGATCTGATTATTGAAATTTGTGATGGATTACGTCCTCCAATCGATGATATTGAAGCACAAAAAGGTTATATTGCGTTAATGAAAGAATGCTGGGACCCTGGTCCAAATAAAAGGCCATTGTGCCTTAACAGTCAGTGGAAATGTCACACTAATCATTAGTGAGTTTTTTTGTACTATGATATCATAATACAAATTGTTGATATAACGTTGTTCTTAGGTATATAGTGGATATATAAAATTTAAAATTGGCTAGCATTAACTCAATTGGTTAAAATCGACGATCTTTTAAATTATAATTCTGGCCAAAATTTTCTTAACTCTGGCCAAATTTATAGTGCCGGCCCAAATTTGGCTAAAATCGAAAATTTTAAGTCAAAGGTAACACCGCATTTACACAATGTAACATATTATTAAACAATTATTTACATGTTCGTCAAGATCTTAAAAATATTTTTATAAAGTTTAAAAATTCATAACTCAAGTTTATTCAGTTCAATCTGTCTAAGGAAAGTTGCCTATTATTTGTTTATTTACTACCTTTTTCATAATTAGTGTCCGCTTTAGACGGACACTAATTATGAAAAAGGTAGTATATAGTAAATAAAACTTTTTAAACTTTTACAAAAAAAAATACATTTATACAATGTAAACACTTATTTACATGTTTGTAAAAACTTTTTAAAAAATATTTGTTTTTATAAACTCTTGTTTATTCAGTTCAATCTTTCCTTTATCCATTATTTGTTTATTTAAATAGTAAATAAATTAAAGTAAAAAAATTTTTTTAACTCTTTTGGTACTACTTTGATGTAAGGTTTAATTTATTTTATTAAATCAAGTAAAGTTGAATATTTTTAACAATGCTGGGTCTTGAAGTTGACAATAATTCTACACTGTTACAAGAATTTGACTTGAAAAATGTTAAAAGTAGCAGTGAAGACGAAATATTTGAATTATTTACTGAGGACGACTAATTTACCTTTAGGTTTAGCAATATGTTAAACGAAATGTTAGCTCATAAAGATGAAGATGATAAAATGGAATCATATGTAGGTGAATATGATAGTGATATTAAGGTAGAATTAGAACAAAATAATAATAAGAATAATAAACAAACTCCTGATAATGAGTGTGAAGAAAAAGATGATTTAATTGACACAGATAAAAGAGATATTAGCAAACAACAACCTTCTGTAATATCTTGTGTAATCATTGATAACATTCAAGATACAATTAAACGTTGCAATTAAACTTATAAACTTAGAAGAGTACAAAATTTATATAAAACTTGGCAAATAGATCATGTCACAGTTCAACTAATCAATAATGATTATTTGAAATTGGGAGTTTGTGATTCACATTTTTTATATAATCAAAACCAAATTCACAATCTTAAAGATAAAAAAATATATCAAAAGAAATTACAGTTACAGATAAAAAAACCAAAATGCATCTGTTGCACTTATTATAAACAATTGAGCAAACATATTTATAAACATACAGGTTAAGGTAAAAAATCAAACTGTATTCAAGATAAATTACATGAACAAGATGCTATAAAAGGAATCAAATTTGCAAATTAGCTTATTCAGATTTCTCATACAAGCGAAAAATCAAAAAAAGATGAAATTTTAAAATCTATTGTTAAAGCTATTCTTTCTTTTTTTCTTATACTTTTAACCAAAACTGTATCATCTACTATTAATACAGAATCAGATGAATCTCTTAACCTTTTCATTATACAAATTTTTTTTCTTGATACATTTCTCAAAAATAAAATTTAAAATGATGATACAGAAACAATTGACTATGAAGTTTTAGGACAAAAATTTGGAATTAAACTCTAAAAATCACGTGAAGCAATAAATGAGAAAAAAATTTTTTTAAGCTTACCAGAATCAATTTTTGAATATTATTATGCATTTCTGGATTTTATTATCAAGTTCTTTTAGAAAATGTTAATGGAAATCTTTAAATGAAAACTTGCTGTTAGTAATAGAAAAAGAAAACAATAAGGACAAATTTTAAAAAATTTGTCTGAATGTACAATTATGAAAATAGTTACATTTTTGGTTTCTGTTCTTACTGATATAACCTTTCTTTTATGTAACATTTAGTTGACTAATTTGCTAAACAGTTTGGCATACAAACCCAAATTATTATCATCGCTTCATCATTTTCTTACTTTATGAAATATAATTAGACATTATGAATATTATAAGCGAAATCAAGAAAATGATAGAATTAATAATGCTATTCTTATATAAAGGCTATTTAAAGAATTAAATATTTGGAATTTTGCAGTCATAGACAATATTAACTTTAAGCAAAATACATTTTCTTTTAGCAATATATATAATACTACTAGAAATAATTTACACGCAATCTTAAGAATAGCATTTCAGTCAAAAATTCCTAATTATTTAGCAATGCGTCAGGAAGTAATAACTGTTCTAAAAGAAGACATTTATATATTTAGTATGAATATTATTATACAAGAAGCTTTAAATAAGTTTTAAAATATATTGGAAAGATTACTAGATTTTTGAAGAACAAATGAAGAAAATTTAGAATATAACTAGAACTTTAATACACATATTATTAAAAAAGAAATACTAGAAGAATTTGAATATGGCTATTAAGGTTCATCTCTCCATGTTATGATTCTTAAACCAGGTGATAATCTGAATTAAGACCAAGCCATTTTAGGAGTTGCCAATATATATAAAGCTGATTTTAATTTGCCAGAAACTGGATATCTTGATATTGTTACTAACAAGGCAATTTTTTGTCGATTAGTTAAATATCAAATACAATGGTCTCAGTTATGACCATTACTTGGATAATGGTACAATTTAAAAGACTTTTGTTCAGTTATAATTATATTGTTCTCTAGTTACAAGCTTTTAAATTTAGCAAGAAAATTAGGTGTTTGGTTTCTGAATAAGTTTGAGATAGCTGTTGATTATTGATCAACATCTAAAGTTTTAGAATTTCTATGGGTGACAGTTGGGATTTCAATTAATATATACATAAAGAAAAAAAATATTAATTTATCTAAAATAATGAATAGAGATAACATTTTTCTAAAAATTTAGTATCTTTATTATCAATGAGCTAGAATATAAAAGTACATTAAATAAGAATGAGAATCAGAAACCATAATTTGCAATGAAATACCCTTGCCACAGCTTTTCCTTTTTTTTCAAGTGTAGGCAAATTAAATTATACAGTAGTAATCATTCAACATCTCAGTATCTTAATTAAATATCTAAAATTAAATGAAATCTTACAATATGTCAGGGCATTTAGAATACCAAAAAAAATCAATGACGAAAAAAATCAAAAACCTGTTTATTTTAGTTTTGATAAGATGCTTGAAACCTTTGGAGTTCATTTTATAAACAAAAATATCACTGAAAATGTTATTGATGAAACGAAACTAAAAACAAATATTAAAGCATTACAAGCTGAAAGGGAGAGAATTGATCTGCTTTTAAGTGAATATCTTGAGAATACTTCAATTTCTTAAAATAAATGAGCCATTAATTTTAGAAGAAAGGTATTATAGGAGTTAATAGAAGACTTAGTTACAATTTTTGACATGATAAATTCATTATCACATGAGATTTTTAAAGACCTTGAACCACCTGAAATACATTAAGAAGGCTATAAAAAATTAATAACATATTATAAAAATGGTTTAAAATAAATGCGAGTTATTATAAACAAAATGTGATAAAAAGTGAACCTTAAAATGCACAAGAAAGATATGCATTATAAGTGCTTTGAATAAAGTACAAAGACTATACTGATAAAAAGAGAACTGAAAAGGAGAAAAAGTGAAAGCGAAGGTATGAAGAAATATTTTCAGATAATAATCAATTGAAGGTATACGTAATATGTGTAGGATTATATTGCAGCTATAAAACTTGCCTAATTTGCCTACACATCTGCATTTTTAGCCATAAGTTCAGACGTCTAAAAATGAAGAAAAGTATTTGTGTAAGAAGAGCAAATACTGGAATGTCTGTTATCTTATAAGAAAATTCCAAGCCACGTATATGACAAAACTTTTTAATTACTTAAAGTTGAATAGGATAAAAAAAAGATTTATGGTTGATAGAATTATCATATTAATAAAGTATGATTAAGCCAAAAAAATTTGCTTTTTACTACTATATAATAATTATAAAAAAGTTTTTAATAAATTAATTAAATATACCTCGTTGTTGTTATATATTATATATAAAAATAAAATTTTGCAATTTTAACGTTAACCAGCGGTTAAAGTGCTAATTTTTTTTGTTTAATATGAAAAATAGCCATAAAACATGTATACCTAGGTGGTATTTACAAATTTTTGAGCGTATTTAACAGTTCAATCAGAGACAGTTATGTAAAAATATGAGTAAAGTTTTGTAAATAATATTTTTTTTATTTATATATTAGAACACTATAAAATTTATAGTAAAATGTAGGATAGTATACAAAGAATTAACAGAGATTTTTTTAATTTTTTTTTAATATATAGCAAAAATAGCTTAGACATTAACATTGCGTCTAAGGTTATACAAACTAATTTTACTAATAATCGTTAACTGATATGACATTTTCAATGACTATTATGAACATAAAGTTACTTCAATCTGTAACGTAATTTTGGAATTAATTTGGGAGGTGAAAAATTTGCAATATACCCTAAATAAATTTGAATGAATTGCTCATAAGAAATTAGTTTTTTTTTGGTTTTTCTAATTATCTAATATATTATGAAGCAATACTTTGGGAATGTTAGTAGGCTGTTTGAAATACATTTTGAACTTCCCTGATTTATTATAAATAATAGAAATACTAAACAATAGATTCATTTTATAATTGTAGAATCAATTTCAATCTCAGGTAGAAGATGCAGTTCTAGTAGAATACGATTTACAAATATTCCTAAAAATTTGAGTATTTCAAACTTTGGAGAAAGTATATCAGAAGAGGAAAAGCTAAAATGTGTCATTGCTGATGAATTGATATAGCAAAATCTCATTAAGATATTCTATCAATCAAGCAATAGTCAGATTGAAAATCAATTTTAATATTTTTTTTATGGCAAATAACATATCATTGTAAATTTTGAATTTTACTATTTTACTTATTGCTTTTTAGTATTCAAATTCATATTTTTATTAAATTCTTTAGTAAATTCCTAAATTAGTTTCACTCAAAACATTATTTCAGAAAATTCAAACCATAAATAAAAAGATGAAAAGTAAATTATAATCATTCAAAAGTTTAGAATTTATGAAGTAGCATCAAAAACAATTATTATTATAGTATTCTTTTAACAGGAAGGCACATCAAAGTTAGCTAATAAGAACTATTAGGGATTGAAAAAGTATGATATATTATAAAGAATTACTTAAAACAAGTAAATTACTGCAATGTGATTATATGTTATAATAGATAATTAAAGACTAACATATAACCTTTAGAAGAGGAAGAAGAAAATAGAATAAGAAAAATAAGGAAGTAAGTAAAGAGAAAATCAAAGAATAAACGAAATATTAAATATTGAATAAATATACAGTAAAGAATCCTATTAATATAATCACATAGAAATTAAAAAACTCAAGACCAGTATAACTACCTAGAGAATCAAACATAATAATAGTAACAACAGCTAACAATTAGACAAATTTTAAAAAAGTAACATTATCGCTAAATATTTAAGAGAACTAATTGTTTTATAAATTGACAATTTTATTAGAATCATGATGATAATAGAGATACAAGCTTTGTAGTTATATTTTGATAACATTTTGTAATTATAGCATAAAAAAAATAAATGGTATCGTGAAAGCTATTTAATATTAATAATATTAAACATGAATATAGATATTTACAGTATCAGGTTTACTAACTTTAAGAGATTAATGAATTTAAGAAATGCCTTACCAGACAATTATCAAATTCATTTATTTTTAAATAGGTTAAAACTGAGTCTTATTATGAAAGTAGTGATGAAATATTCAAAATATTTAGATATTATAATTAGGGTAGCAAAAACTGTGAAAGTTTATTCATATTATATAAGAAAATCATCTAACCTATTAGTTATGATGATGCAATTGAAGCTCTAATGGAATAATTAGAACAACTCACCTTAAATTAAGTAAATATCATAAATATATTAGCAGCTAAAGCAGGAGTTTTAAAACCTAAAGCTGTATTATTAAAGAATGTAGTAATAACTAATAAGAAGTCATTTAATTTTAATCAAGTTACTTGTTATCAGTATAATGAGAAAGGTTATTATACAAGAGATTGCTTATCTAAAAAAATAAAACTAACAGAAAATAAAGGGATGCTAATTTAATCAAAATATTTACTGATAGTGAAATAGAAAATAAAAAAGAGCAAATGAAGTATATGCAAAAGAATGGTCAAGAACATATACTATTGACAGAAAAAGTGACAAAAGAGAAATAAAAAGAAATAGTGCAGATTTTAAAATCCTAAAAAGAAATGAGCCTTAATATTCAAATTATTAATTCTAAAGAAAAGTAAATAGAACCTTCTCCTAATTCAAATCAATAAGTAAGATTAGAAACTTTGATAACTTTCACTATATAATATTGCTAATGATATTTTTTAACAAATACTAGCTTAAAAAAGAAACTTAGCAAAAGCCTTAATATGACATTTGATACTATTACCTAATGTTAATGTCATAGAATTTCTAGACAATAATAATAGAAAAAAATAATATTTTGGTCATAATTAATACTGGAGCAGCTATTAATATTATCATGAATAAATTATGAAAGAAATTAAGACTCATAATTAATAAACCTTCACACTAATTGTAATTACTGCTAATTAGAAATCATGTAGAGTATTAGGATAAATTTACTGATGCAAAAGTAAATATACAAACTATATCTGTTCTAGTAGAATATAAAATGATTAAATCTTCTTAAGAAATATTATAATGAGTAAATTAGTGCTAAATGTTAATTTAGCATAAATCTGCATTAATCACTTATTTAAACTAAAAGATTAATATTCTTTCAAAAAAGAGCTATCAAGTATTAGATGAATATAAAGATGAAGAACTTGATGAATGTGATGCTTTTTTAAGTAATGTTTAAAATAATATTCAACCCAAATACAGTATGTGATAAATATCATATATGATGAACAAGATATCTATATATTAAAAAGAAATAATCCTGAAAAAGAAAAGTATCAAATGTGAAAGGTATCATTGAATAAAATGAGACTTTAATGCAAGTAATATTAGAGGAATCAGGCATATCTATTAAACTTAATAATGTTGAATTTTTTTTTCATTGATAATAAATAATTACAATTGGATTTTTAAAAGAATCAAAATTTAGAAGAATCATTTTTAATAATATTATTAGTATTAGAGTTATTATGATTAATTTAGATATTTGGAATTTCTACATAACATAAAAGAAACAAAAATTATTATTTATAATTATCTCTAATTTAAAGAATAGAACACTTTTTATTAAAAAAGCACTTAGAAAAAATACTACCTTTATGGAGTAAACTTGTTGAAAAAATATATAATTCATATTTGAGTCTAATAAAATAAAATGTTTGTTTTTCTGCCTGTCTTTATTTTAATAATATTTAATGATATATATATATATAGTTTACAATATTTTAATGGCAGAAAGCTAATAATATATTGAGGGCTATGAAATTTTAGTAATATAGTTCTTACCTGTAGTAATTAACTATTGAACATCAGCTTTTAAAAATGTTAAGAAAAAATTTTTCATATATCAATACACTTCGAATATAATAAAAAAATAAAATGATCAGCATAAAGTCAAGTAGATTGTTTCTCTGATCTAAAATTTTATTGTATAATCTTCAATTAGATTCTCTTACTCCTTGATATAACAAAGTATTTATATAATAAAGAATTAGATTTTTGCTTTGCTGAATATATTTATTTAAGAAACATATTATAATAGATAAATTTTTAATAAAAATTAATGAAAATTATGATATTAATATTATTTTCTTGAAGATATTTTATATTAATTAGGTAGATAATTTATTTACTAAGATAATTATATAGATTCTGAATATCAATTTTATTTTAATATAACAGTCTATTTAATTTCTATATTAATTTTAATACTTACAGATTTGTTAACTTTATTTTCATTAAATATATTTAATTTAATTTATTTATTAATTATCTAATATATTTATATTTTTATTAAGTTTTATTACTTTTTGATAAAAGTAAACTAATAAAATAATAATTTTTAAATAATAAACTTATTATTGCATTAAGAAAGTAATATAATTAATTAAATATAAAACTTATTCTTCTTAACTATTTATAATCATTTAAATTTTCTTGTAAATCCTTTGTATTTAATTCATTTAATTGCAATCCTTTAATTATTAATAAATTTATTACATGATATAGTTAATTCGCCATATTGACTTAAAGTTTTAAAATGTATTCTTTGAAATATTTTTATATTTATTTTGTATTATTATATTGAAAATAATCTTAGATGTTACAATAAATACTCAATTGTGATTCTTAAAATAATTATCATAATTTTATTACCTTTTATATAAATTATTTTAAATTATAAAATATACGTAATAATATTATTACATGAGATTTGTAACTTAAAATAATTTTGTAAGAGTTAAATAAAACTATGACAATTACTTAAAGAATCACAAGTGAGTATTCATAATAATATCAAAGATTATTTTTAATATAATAACACAAAAATAAATATAAAATATTTTAAAGATTACATTTTAAAAATTCTAAATCAATATAGTGAATCAATACAATAATATATAATAAGTTTATCAATAATTAAAGGGATTGCAAATGAATGTAAAGGATTCATGAATAAATTATAATTATAAAGAATAAGTTTTATATTTGATTAATTATATTTCTTTATTAATACAATAATAAATTCATTATTAGAGAAATATAGAGATATTTATACAGATTGGATAATTAATAAATAAACAAAGTTAAAGTATTACTAGAAAATAAAATAAATTCATCAATAAAGTTAACAGATCTATAGAAATTAAGTTAAATAAACATCTAAAATATATATGATTAATTATTTTAAAAAATAAATTTAACTAATTAATCAATATAAGTAAACTTCAAAGAAATTATGCTGATATTATGATCATTAAATAGTTTTCTAAATAATGATTTTACCTATTTCAATGTATATCTAATTTCTTAGAATAAATTATAATAAAAGATATGCTTACTAATACAATATATTATTTGTTTAAATTATTAAGACTAATACAAGTCTATAGGACTTGTGAAATTTTCTTAATCATGATTCAATATTTAAAAGTTAATAAATTCCAAGCATTGATTCAATATGCTTAACAAATTACATTAATTAATAAAGAAAACTTTAATCTTAGAATTCAAAAATTAGAGAGAAGAAATATTATAAGAAATCAGTATTTATGAATAGTAACTGCAAAAAAATAATGAAAATATTAAAAATGTTAAAAATATTATTTATATTAATTAAATCAATTATATATGTTAAATTATTATAATAGTTTCATTTTCATATTTATTTATTATATACAATTTTTAAATTTATTATACAATTAACTCTTAATACAACGAATGTTGTATAACAAATTTCACAATATAATGAATTTTGGTATAGTAAAGATTTTTTATATTAAAAAAACCTTGTTATACTGAATTTACTAATTAAAAGCTAACAATATATAAAAACAATTTTATAAATACAATATATAAATGACCCTTTTTTAACGAATTTATTTATAATGAATTTTTTTAATAAAACAAAGATTTTGAAGATAGATATTACTTAAAGAGAGCCAGTATAAAAGAGAATAAAAAAGAATATACGTTCACCTTCAAAAATTCGAATAAGCATTTCCGATTGATTTTCAAAATCTGTTGAAATAATTTCGGATTCTCAATAGGTACTTCAGTATTACGATTAATAAGCGTGTCATGGTACCGACGGTAGATTCAATACCCAGAGATAAAGCAGCGACATCGAGTAAAAGAAAATCTTGAGCTTTTCAGAAATATCACCAGATAAATAGCATCTTGAATGGCGGCACCATAGGCCACGGTTTCATCAGGATTAACAGATTTATTTAGTTCTTTACCATTGAAGAACGACTTTTGTCTAATTTAGAATCTCGAAGTACTTTTTCAACGATTTCCATTGTAGATTGAATAAGTCTTGATTTAATTTCTTCAATTTTGCACGTGTTAAGAAGGTATAGAAATCGATATATTTGAAAAGTGAATCTGTTTCTATGGAAGCTTTTGATGATGAAGAAAGTTCACGCTTTGGCACGTTCACAAGCTGTCCTTAATCGACGGAAAGCACCTGCATTTGTTGTAAGATCTTCCTTGAATAATGATTTACAAGTCGATTTCGTCAAGAATTGTGTTACCAGCAACGGCTCTTACTTCAAAAATTCCTTCTTCTAAAGTTAGGAGTGAAACATCGAAAGAACCACCACCTAAATCATAGATAAGAATGTTTCGTTCACCACAAGCTTTTGTATTCAAACCATAAGCAATAGCCGCCATGATTGCTTATTAATTATGCGTAATACCTTCAAACCAGTGATTTCACCGGAATTTTTATTGCTTGACGTTGAGATTCATTAAATTAAGCTGGTGAAATAATTACGGCATTACAATATTAACTTTTGTACTAAGGTAAGCTTCTGCGGTTTCCTTTAAATTTACCAAAATCATAGAAGAAATTTCTTCAGGTGTGAAATCTTTCTTTTCGCCTTTGAATCTGACTTGGATATATGGCTTTCCATTCTTTTCGATGACTTTAATTAGCCAATGCTAATAAATAAGATAAGAATTATAAATGCATTAAAATGCATTGTAGATCAAATTCGTATCATTGAGATATAATTTTACCTTAATATATCGGATTGAATAACTTCGTCGCTAAAGTTACGTTCAATGAGACGTTTAACATTAAATACAGTATTATAATGGTTCATACTAGATATTTGCAGCATCACCGTTAAGACGTTCTGTTTCGGTAAAAGCGACATACGAAGGCGTCATATGATGACCCCGGTCATTAGTAATAATTTCCAATTTGATCGTATTTCCAAACTCCAACGAGGAATATGTCGAACCCAAATCGATTCCAACTAAATTATACAAGATAAAATTTTTAAATTTGTGATTTTCCATATTCAATGAATGGGGGAAAATTTTTTTATGCATATATATCAGCATTTCCATTCGACATTATAATAAATATATATACAAAAGGATACAGGACCCATACGATGTAATCAACATTCTTAAAGAAAAGTCAAATTTATGAGTATTTATTTAGAATGGATAAATATGGAACTTGTGACTGACATATGACAACTTACTGAACTTAAAACCTGTTTTATTGTTGGAGTAATTTAAGAAGATCCGGCAAAATACCCACTTTAATCAGATATTAAATCTCAGGTTTTTTGAACCTTATAAATGGTTAGGAAAAATGTTCAACAAAGTATTTTTTTCTCATCGGTTATAAAATAGTTGATAATGCCTTTATTATTTATAATTTATAATTTATTTATAATTTTCTTTTCTTTAACTACTTTGCATGTCGTGTCAAACTTGAAAATTTATGATAAATTTAAGAAGATCGTCACCTGATTTAACCGGATCGTACATAAATGTTATCGAGGTCGTTAAAGTTATAGTATAATTATAGTAAAGCTGTATTTTAAGTTTATAGTTTACTTGTTAAATAATCTAAGAAATAATATATATTCAATTTTTAAAAATTTCCAAAAAAAAAAAAATAATAAGGTTTAATTTGCATTTAGACTATTAATTTATAAAATTTTATTATATTTTTTAAAATTATTTCTAATTATAATAGATTCGATAATAATTTCGCAAATATATTTTGTTTTTTCCCCCACTTATAATATTCACACCCAACCCGCTATTAATTCTAAATAAATCTAGCGTGTATTTTTAAATCGGCCTTCGTGTGTGGTATCAATGTTAAATAGTTGCTTGTGTTCACCCTACAATCCCTCCAAGGTATTTGCAGTTAAAAACATAAAACCTTCAAACCAAATCTGCGCCATTCGTAAATGCGAAAAGCATATTTGAAACGGTGGTAAAGTTTTGATTTTATTGAAATCTTAAACATTATTGTATCAATTTAAAAAATTTTCTATTAACTTTAATAAATTAATGAATTAAAAAAAGTTTATACTGTATATAAAATTAATCTTTTTTATTAAACGTAAACTAGTTACCGATTGATCAAAAATTTTTTTACAATAAAAATAAATTTTAAAAAAAATACTTTGGATTTTTTTCGGCGACGCGTTTTTGAAATAACAATCTAATTAATTTTAAGTAATGTAACTTTATCGTCGTTTCGTTTATAAGTATCGTTAGCATTAGCGTGATCGGAAAATATTTTGGAATCGTCCGTTTCTGTGTTAAAAAGAATGGTTGGGTGTGAGTAATTCCCGCGGTTAACTACTCCCTAAGGAAGATCAGCCAGAACCAATGGACCACTTCAAAATGCTCTGGATTTTTTAGGATATTACCTATATAACACTTCTCCCATTAACAGCTCTACCGCATCGGAAATGGACTTTTTCACGTATCTACTTTAAAATTTGAATCTTGAATGCGAAAATTCCTTCGTTTCGTTATCGGTAACGTTAGCGTTATCAAAGAAGTCCTTCCATTTTGTTCATAAGAAGCGTATAATTATTGGAAAAGTCTTGCGTTTCATTTGTAGTCAAGGTTTGTTTTAATAAATTAATTATGTAAAAGTTATTCTTAAAAAATAAACAATAAATATTTTAAACCTCACTTTACGTTCCCTCGGAAGCAAAATTTAGCGAAATAGTATTTGGCAGAATTGTTTATTGGTTCCTACTCATAAAAAACCTAAAGATGGATTAAGATTTCACGAGTCGCGTAGGGACGAACTTCATATATTTCATTTGGATCCTTATAATTTATAGGATTTATACAACCGGGTAACAAATATTTTAACCGGTTATTAACGGTTAAAGATTTTAGGCCAGTTCCAACCTCTATTATAAATTATTAACTTAAAACTTGTAATTTAAAATTTGCGAAATAAAATAAAAAATTCGATCCATCAAAAAAATTTTTTTCTTTTTATTATATTGTTACACATACGACAGTTAATTAAACACATGTTTCATGCAATCTAGTTTAAATTATTCAATTTTTTATGTAAATTAACATCAGTGATGAATTGGTATAGTAGTAACAACGCGTGGCATGGTGCGAAAAAACGGCATGTTGCGGGTTCAGCTGCTACTGTACTCAATTTCACATTTTTTTTTTTTTATTATTCATTCATCCCGTGATCTGACAATTTCCCCCCTTTTTTTATTTCTATAACTTGAAAATCTATTTCACGTCATTTCATATAAACATACAGTATTTTTCAAAGTTATGAAGAACTTACCGTAAGCGTAGGAGGTTACAATTTAGATACTACGGTGATTCTTAACGTTTGGATAAAATCAATGGTGAAGATTGGATTTAAATAACAAATAATATAAATATTTAATTATAAACTGAGTTTAACCTAATTGTGTAAAAACAACCATTTATTTTTGGATGTTTTCAAATTTTCTTAAAATTTTATCGTTACTTTTTTCGTAAATTCTTCCACCGATTACAGGAAAAAAATAATTTTGCTGTGAAATATAAAAGAAATTTGAAATTATTTTTTTCTTTAGTAAATTTAACTATAGTTGAACTTTGAAAATTTTCATTTGTAATTAAAATCTTTCTAATTTTAAACTCAAAACTCCGGAAAATTTTAAATAGTAAAATTTTAGAAGATATTATAAAAAAGAAACAAAAAAAAATTATTTTTCGAATAAAAATTTTGTGCAATAAATAAGATTATTAAATAAGTCAAAATTTGAACTTTTGTCCAATTTGTTCAGTTACAATAATATATATTTTTGAATTTTCCAGTTTGATTATATCCTGTTATATTTGTACCCGGATTCAAATCCAAACCAGGGGAATATATAGATAGATTTTAGTTGCATTTTATCCTTAAGGGACGGATTGCTAATTCAACCATGTAGAAGCCTTTTAAAAGTGTAAAAAAA